CACGGTGTCCAAGGATTTCTTAACCCTGGGACACGACACAATATTGAAGACTTACGTGAAAGATGAGGCCTGGAGCCGGAGTATATCTTCTGATGTGGACGTAGGATAGGATGTCCAGGAGATGTCCTTCACGGCTAGCCGCGAAGCAGAGGCGGCCGGCTGCGAAAAGGGTGCCGTTCGCTGAACCAAAAGTGGAAATGGTCACGGATAGAGGCATAAGCCAAGCCATCACACCCAGGAGTCGGTTACCGAAGGTCACGGCCACCGCCTCCGACGTCATCATCTCCATGGGCGACATCACCGTTAAGTACGACACGTTGATCAGTGCGTAGCAGATCGTCACCAATGGGATTCCAATTGCGATACTCCGAGGAAGATTCCTAACAAAACAAAATACTTCAATTAATACAAGAACTATTTATAGCTTAATCAAGTAAAATAATTACAGTATTCTACAGGATAATTCATTCATAATATAATCAACCTCAAAGCTAATGAAGTAATTATACTGAATGAGTATTAGTACTTACTTGGAAGGATTTTTAATCTCTTCGGTGACATAGTTGAGATTGTTCCAGCCATCGTACGCCCAGAGGCCTGTGTAAAAGGCTGTGGCGATGTTTCCAACGGAATACTGGGTATTCTTGAAGGGTTCCCGCAGATGCTGGACGTTTCCTACAAAGAATTAACGGTTTTAAGTAAGATTGAAACATCAATAATGTTGGTGGTTAGAACCTTCACAGATTTTGTAGATTCCTCCGATGATGACGATCAGGACGGCTACGAGTTTGGCTGCTGTAAAGACGTTCTGCACGCTCGTCGCCAAGTTAACACTGTAGCAATTCACGTACAAGATGACCACTGAAATAACATAATTTGTTTAGTCTTGTGTATGATTCTTATAAAATAGTTACCAATTGCCAGCAATGCGACCATCTTGACAACGATCTCCGGTGGTTCGCATTCGGTGACGAATGCTTCGACCGCGTACTTCCCGAAGCTGAGACAGATGATGGCCATTTGGGATGGTTTCAGGACGAGCGTGCTCGCCCAGGAGAAGAGGAAGGCCGGAGGTGCTCCGAAGGCGTCCATAAAGTAGGCGTATTCAGCTCCTGAGGATGTGTTCATGGTGCCCAACTCTGCGTAAGACAATGCGCCTAAACCGAACAAACAATTGCATTATTAAATCCCGTATAAATTGAAAAATAAGATACACTGCAGCATCCAATTTACATTCTTCTTCTCGATGAAAAGCTGTGGTTGGAAATATTTTGCAATTTCCTAGAAATGTTCTGTTTGCTTACCTAAAAGCGATAGCAAACCGCACGCCATCCATATCACAAAACTCATTCCGATTGATCCGGTTCTTTCCAGAAGACCGGACGGAGACACGAAAATTCCAGAGCCTGAAACATACGAACATCAGGGAATTGAAACGATTAAAGTGAATTACGGTGTGTGTTCTTTTTCCTTTTCTATAGTAGACTTTTCTCTACATGGAAACGTGCAAATATTATCACAGGCATTGGATCGATTTATGGATGGAATTTATTTCAGGATTTTGTGGAAAATTTACTGCTTGTTTTCCTTTTACTCTATTTTCTACAGACTTGACAAATGATTGAAACAAGTTGAAAAAAAAAGAAGTGCGGATAAATACTGGAGTGGCAATGACACGGATGGAACGTTAGAATGCAATAAAAATAATTTTATAGTCTGAATAGATGATCTATTCCTAATACTAAATGCAATTGATCATAAATCAGAATTGTAACAATTGAAGATTGAGACAAGTAGAAATACGTGGAAACTATACTAAAGTAAGGAAAATGTACTGAGGTAAATGCAAAATACAAGAAGATAGTCATGGAAATGTTACCACTAATTTGACAAGTGTTTGACAAGTAACAAAGTTGCTGTTAATCTGTTGGGTATAATAGTAAGTAGTTGCAGTTAGTTCTTGTTTTGCATGTATAAATTGTTACCTATCATAGTGCCGACAATTAGAGCCACCCCACTGACGAGTCCCACCCGTCTCTTGAGGTGAAGAGTGTCATTCTCAATTGATTCCGACCCCTCCAGCTTGTCAGGGCCCTGTCCGGCCGCACCGTTCTCCTGGTGGTGGCCGCCCCCGGCTTCGCCGTCCCCGGAGCCGTTGCATTCTCCGTTGCACTGGCCGAGGCCGAGGCCGCCCCCGCTGTTACGCCCACGCCATTGAAGGCCTTCCTTTGGGGACGCATTGTTATTTCCTGGAAACAAAAGACACAATAAGTTTATTTACTATTACTATTTATTACTATTATAACAGGTAAGAGCAATACAATTGTTTTACATGGAACATTTTATGTAATCATAAAAAAAATGAAAGTATTGAAAGATTATAAAAAGTTTGATCGATTGATTTCTTATACATTTATTATTTTTGTTGTTCAGGAAATATTTAAAATAATTAAGTTTTCAAAAAGCTAAAGGAAAACGATATTTTCCATTAGAATCGGTTGAGGGATATTGGATTAAGAGAGGGCAGGCAATCTGTGAAATTACCAATTGAGGTTCATGATTTAATCAGTTGTCACTGTGCAAATGTACATTGGAGGAGAACCTTCGGTCCTAATTCAGTCGACGTCCCCTGATTCGGTTATGAATTCTGAATTTCCGTTACAATATACATTAGCTTAGAATCCATAAAAAAGGGGGAAAATAACTAAAATGAAAAGAGTTCAAAATTTCAATTTAGGAATATTTGTTCAATAGATCTATTAATTATTACTGAGTATTGAAATTTCATGTAAGATAATCATAATAATTGTTTATAATAAAATAAAACTGTGTTTTTTTTAGAGAATAAATCAAAAATATTAAGTTTAAATACATTCGGTGAAATTATGGTATTCTCTTAATTAAATAATAGAGAAACAATTCTAATGTTGTTTATGTAACTCTAAATTGCTATAATTTCTATAAGTGAAATGTTCTAGTAAATAATCAAGTTATTATTCACGTAACAGTTTTACACAAACAATTTAATTAACCTGAAGAACTTCGTCTTTAGGCAACCAAATATGCACCTCTATTAATGCAGGTAATGGAGTTGAAATTGAATTTACGCGCGTAATTCCATCAAGCTATCAATTACAAACAAACAAGAACTTGGCTTTCTTAAGAGCACTCAATATTATAAGAAATTACATAATATAATTATTGTTTTATTTGTTGCCGTTGTTGCTGGAATCACAAATAGTTTCGTGTTACTGAAGGTGACTTAAAATACTCGAAAATATTGTTTGCTGTAACGCGATTTAACCGGTATTTGTAGGTCAGCGTGTACGGTTCTTCTAAAAACCGAAAACAGAAAAGATAAACATCGGACATGAAAAATAGAATAATTGTTTTATATGTTAATGTAGTTTTCTTTTTTAAACTTTTTTTTTTGTAGAATGATTTATGAAAGAAATTTTTAACCGGTTTTAATTAATTGTGGCGCATGTGCGAAACCAAAAAAAAAAAGAGAAGAGGACATTAAGACTACTAAATAAATCCGATG